AATGTAAACTGAGATACTATATTATATACATAGTTATGTAAATATGGCAATTATGCTAAGAATTAAAACGGCGTGTAATTGTGAGGGTAAAGTAATTATGGTAGGATCAAATGGTATTGCTAAATCCCCAAAACCTCCTAAAACACACTTTAGAAAACCAAACAATTCAATTGTGATTGACTCACTTGGTATATCAATAAGAAAATTAAATGTTTATAAGAACCTATTTTTTGGTTAAAATGTTGATTTTTTTTTGTGAAAAAATATTTGTAAATACACCACAATCCTCCAAACACACTGCGAACCCCATCCAAACCCTTTAATTGCGATTGTAGAACTCTCTTTTTCTTAAAAAAAAAAAAAATAATAATTTGATGTTCATATAAACTCATTGTTTGTGGGGTTTACCAATACCGGATTGAATTTCTGGAAAATTGTGATTCCGCTTCCTTGAAATTGGCCACAAATAAATTATTTTAGGATTAATAAATGCATGGTTTATGTTGATTTATTGATTATGTTGTTGCTATTTTTAAACATTTAAATGGAAAAAAAATAAAGTGTTATTCATGGCTTTTTTTTAATCTTTGAATATTTTATCATTGAATATGTAATTTCTGCAAAAAGTAAAATGTAAATGGCAATTTATTTGATGTTAGACTACTTTTAAAAACTAAATTATTTCAGTTAAAAAAAATGTATATAATGATTTTAAAAAAATCAGTTTTAATACAGAATTTTATTATTGGGGCCATTTTTACCGGGGCCAATTTTTCCGGGGCCATTTTTTCCTGGGCCATTTTTTCCGGGGCCATTCTTACCGTACACCGTATAATACATACTCCAAGTATCGAAATGCACTACATCGTGTCGGGATTCAATATTTCGACATTAATTATGTCATCATTAGGAATGATCTTATCTGATATTATTCAGTGGACCTTTCGGTTAAATGGTAGGCATGTGGAAATACCATCGAAATATATAATTATTGTAGGGGCTTCATGATTGGAGGAAAAATGGTGGAATAGTGTGTTGTAAGACAATATGATTTTGTAAGAGTACATCCCCCTTATACCGTACTTACCTTCCCATCCAGGTAGCCACCAGCTCACAGCAGACCATACTTTACTTAGGGAAGATTGTTCGCCTCCCATCCTAAAATTTGAAGAATACAGTAGTTATTTCAATCGAGTAGGATGTAGTTTAAACCTAGTCAAAACCTCTCCCTTTCTATTTTATATGCTGCCAGAGAATTTGATAACCCCCACCTTCAATGACTATTAAAAAATGTGTATTAAAATCGATTTAACGGGATGCTAAGCTTGCTATGAACTGCTTGGAAACAATGACTATATTACTGTTTTTTCAGATACGCCAAAAAACACATTGTCCTTGAGAAAAGTGTACTTAATCCGCGCCAATGCGTTTCAATTTATTCTGAATACATTCGCTGATGACATGGCTATTCCTACGTGTTCATCGACATGTTATCGGCCAGGTTATCATGAGTAATCAGTTCCTTTGTACGTGCTTATCGACAGGACATGTAATAGTTCGATTTGTTTCACCATTTTATTGACTACAGCATAGCAATGCAGCAGGGTAGCCAATAGCACCAAATTCCCAATTGGCCGGAGATTGCAGCCAGCGCCAGGTTCCTCATTGGTCGGGGGACTGGTCATAGGGCCAGAGAAGAAATTTAATAAAATCAACATTTAATGTTATTCATGTTGTAAAACACGGTTATCCATATTGGAAAAATAAATCACTTCGACAAATGACATTATTATTAGGCCTATAACTATAAGTGATATAGGCCTATTGGACACTAGTTTGTTTTATTGTAAAATATTAAAAACAACTTTTAGTAGGTCACAGGCTGACTGAATGCAGGCTGAGCGGCCATCCCTTTTCCTCCATAAATATCTGACAAAACAAATATATATTCTATAATATGTAATATTCTATATAATATTATAATATATATACACAATGGTGTATATATAAGATGTGTATAAGAGACAGCTCTTCTAGTTCAGTCCTTAAAATA